GTACCATATAGGCAGAGGCCCTGGAGTGGGAAGGAACGAACAGCGCTATCCTATCTGTGCCCCCAGTGTGGCTCCAGCAAAGTGAACCAGAATAATATAGGAAGCTGGGGAGGAAGGAGGGAGCTAGAACATACAGGGCCTTATAGGACTCATTAGAAACTTTTTAAATCTTAAAGATCGGGAAGCTAAGAGATTTTAGGATTGAGCATGTAATGATTATTATTAATACACACTAATATATTTTCAATATGTAGGGTCAACTCTATAGAAAATTGTTGAGGAAACTCAAACTCGAGATTTTGCAATATTCCCTATTTTTTCAGAGTTACCTTTTTCCAAGCATCACATAGAACATGCTGGATGTGATCCATAGGCCCGGAAATGGGCTGTGACCCTGCCTTTATTTTTTCACAAGAACCTCAGCAAGCTAAAAACTAGAACAACCACTCTAGGAAGAAGACATGCAAGTTCATGTCATTCCCTAAACTCCAATCACATCAAGCTTAATTCTTAATCAATCAGTTTTAACCTTGAGATATCACCTAACTTCAATGAGAATAGCCCACATCACAAAGTCCCAAAGCGACAGACGCTGGTCTGGGTGCAGAGAGGGGGACACTTATACACTGTTGGTAGAATTGCAAACTAGTACAGTTTCTTTGGAAAGAAGTACAAAGAATCCTCAAAGGGCTAAAAATATACCTTCCATTTTATCCTGCAATCCCATTACTAGGTATCTACCCACAAGAAAAAGAATCATTTTATCACGAGGACATTTGCACTCAAATGTTTATAGCAGCTCAATTCACAATCACAAAGATGTGGGAACAACCCAAGTCCCCATCCACCCATGAATGGATTAATAAGCTGTGTAAACGTATACCATGGAATACTATTCAGCTATAAAAAGACGGAGACTTTACATCTTTTGTATTTACCTGGATTGAGTTGAAGAGCGTTCTCTTTAGTAAAGTATCTCAAGAATGGAAAAGCAAGGATCCTATGTACTCTACTAACTTGAAACTAGGAGATGAACAACTACAGGCCCACATGAGAGAAAAATACAATTAAATTCAAGTGGGGAGGTGAAGGAAGAGGGCTGGGTAAACTCCCACCTCACAGGTTCAATGTAAGGGTATACGGCACACGTCCCGGGTGGAGGACTCAACTACAACTTGAACTGTACCTAACAAACGCAGACAATGTAACCCGATGATATGTACCCTCATGTTTATCTGGAAAAAAATTATATATCCATAGCCAAATATAAACATTAAAAAACCACGTGTGGACTGCTGTTTGTGATATTACAAATTGAGCTACAGAATTAAAAAATATATTCTTTACATTTAAAACGAGATAATTAGTGCCTATCATGTTGAAGACACTACCATATAGCTGTTGATATGGCAGTAAGTAAATGCAGCGAAGTTCCTAGCACAGTGGTTCTCAACCTTCCTAGTGCTGCGGCTCTATAATACACAGTTCCTGTGGGACGCAACTCACAGGTTGAGAACCGCTGTTCTAGCACATAACAAGAATTATCCACAAACTCTAATCTGAGCTATGCTTGTTCAAGAATCCCAGTGAGGCTGACCTCTGGATTAACTGCAGTAGCCCTAGGACAAATCAAAACTACCTGGGCCCTTGGAAGCTCAACTACACAGAAATTGTGTACATAGAGAGATTCTGCTACTTTTTAACAATACTTAGAATAGTAAGGAAATTTGTAAATCAATTTTCTTTTTAAAATATAAATTTTAATCCAAGTTTAAATGAGCACAACAGCAGTAAAGCAGAGAGAATATCTCATTTTTCCTCCTTTGTTCTGGCAGCCTCACCTATTGCCCTAGAAGGTTACCACATGACTAGTTATCCGGGCTGATGTCATTTCTCCAGGTAGACTTTTGCCAAAGGATTTTCTGCTTGTTATAAGGAGGGCACTTTGGGGGATTTCTAGCTGTCCAGAAGCAGTGGATGTCTCCATTAACTCTACCTCCTCTTGAATGACTGAGCAAACTTATTTCCATTGGTGACTAAATCTGGCACCAGGTTTGCAGACCCCATGAATGATTCCAGACCTATTAAAAAAAACCCACTAAGTGCATGGCTAAGAAGCCCATATCTGTAATGAATTATTGCTAATAATCTGCTAAGTGGAAAAGATTTTGCACAGAACAGGAAAAGCTCCATAGAAAAGGACATGTAAGGTCATCAAACGGTGTTCCCTTTTCTCAGAACAGCAGAGATTTGGGGACGAATTGGCACAGACAGGCCATGCTACTGTTCTGCTGAACGAGATCATAAAGACACAAACACAGGTTTGTATTTCTCTTCTCTGTGCATATTGAGTAGTTATTTAAGGATTCAATTAAACTGTATGGTAAATATAATTCTAACAAAATCAATCAAAAACTTACAATGGAAGGATATGGTTAACATTCTTTAAAGGTTAGAATGGTACTGTTATCAAGAAAGAGAAAAAAAGATTAAATTGGAATAAATGAACATTTCATATTTTGAAACATATTTAAAATATACTTTCATTAGGACAGTGAAGAAATTAGATGATTTGGGTTTAAGCAACAAGACAAAACACTCAAATGAATTGTGTATGAACCTCACTGTCTTAATATTGAGAAGAAATCACAGAATAATATGTTCAGTATTATTTCATTTATGTAAAGTTCAGAATTGTGGTAGGCTAAACAGATTATTTAAGCAGAATAATAAAAATAAAAATAAAATTCAGGAGAGGGCAGTTAAGCAGAGAATGTGACGTGAGCATAGCATGTGATAGCTTCTAGGCATTGGTCATGGGCTATTTCTTAGGTGACAGATACACAAGAATCAATTTCCTACTGTCCTTAAAGCTTCCCGTGTGTGTGAGTATATATACATCTCTATGTAGGTTGCACTTTACAAATCTTTTGATACTCAACTGTATAATCATGCTTTTTATTTCATAAATAACATTCTTACATGAGTACATCCCACTTTAAATTCTGTTGTTAAGATACAGATGTTACAGGCTTTTGCCTACATTTTTTTATTTGTAAAGTAAAAATATTTTTCCTGGCTAGAAACATGGGAAATCTTTTTTTTAATGAATGGTACTTGTATGGATGCTGGGGTTTTGTTCTATTACTACCATTAGGAATCATGTCCAAGAAATGACACCATATCTTACACACACTTTTTATTATTCTAGTAAGTAAATGTCCTAAAATTGGATAGGAGCCTAGTCTAGTATAAAATCACCACCTATGGAGATAATTTTCAAGTAAAGAATTCATACAACTAAATGTGCTTTATAGAGATCACAATAAAACTACTAAAAATTCTCTTTTGCATTGAATGATCTTATGTATTTTCCATAGTGAGTTTAAGTGGACACTATCCATCCATTAATTTATTCATTTGTTCAATAAAAAGTTATTGGGTTCCTTTTTGTGTCTTGCATTATTATACTCAAAGTCTAAGATGTTATTATTTCAAAATTTTAAATACCTGTAGCACTGTTCCTTTCTCTTGTCTATAGATAAAACTACTTTGTGGGAAGAATGAGAATATTCACCTTGTGACTTTTCCATATCCATAAGAAAATACTTTAAATCAATTTTTTTCCCTTTGCAAAAGCCTCAAGTAAAAGTGTTTTTAAACAATAAATTTCATTGTTATATTAATATAATAAAAATTATAACTGAGATTTGAATGGTTAATAATCACAACAGAAAAGCGAAATTCACTGTGTGCAACCTGAAAATTTATCCAACCAAATGGGCTTTGGAAGGACTAATAAATGTTTGAGATGAAAATAAATGTTCAAACTGGGCTGAATAAAATTTAATGGGGATATATGCGATTTAATAAGTGGGATGTACTCATGTAAGAATGTTATATAATTCATAAGGAGACAGGACATTGACATCAACTTTTCAAATTCCCTTATACAGGATGGTCATAAGTTCATGTGAGATTTTAAATTTCACACTATTTAAATAGCACACAAACTTTATGGCCCCTTTGTATGCATGTGAAGAACACAAAGCCCAAGTTTTCTCAGCTAGTTTGAGACAAAGCCAAGA